AAATCAGTCAGACTTATAGCCAACGCCAACACGCACCTGTATCGTCACCAAAATCAGTTACGTGGTCGCTTTTTAAATTTAATCTGCGACAAGAACAACAGAATCGCGAGAGCACGAGATTTTTTTAAGAAATAATTGAAGTATATGGGATAATTTGTAAATTTAGCCAATAACTTTGATCTACTAATTTGTTTTTGATGATTCAACTACCAAAATGGTCACCTCAATGAGATGATTCTAACAAGTCCAAATCGTCAACATCCAATAACAAGATCCTGAGATCGTTCAAATTTTGTATAATTTTAATAAGTTTAAAATTGCTCTAAAAATAGCTTTAATAGTGAATAACTTTTGATCCACTTGTCTGTTTTAGATGACTTAACCACCAAAATGTTCGTCTCAATGAGACGATTCAAATGAATCTAAAATCATTAAAACCCAATCACGGGATCTCGAGATCGTTAAGAAACAATGTACGTGTAGATAATCAACTGAGAAATGGGTTGTATATATAATTTATGCAACCCATTTCTCAAGGTCCCGTGATTGGATTTTAATTATATCCGGATATTCGTCAAAATCAAGAATTCGAACCGGATCCTCGGGCGAATCCGAATTCCAGATCTCGGATCTTTTTTTCGGAACACTAATCAGAATCGTCTCATTGAGACGAACATTTTGGCGGCTAAGTCATCTAAAACGGGCCAGTGGATCAAAAATTACTATAAAGGCCGTTTTTTTAGAGTAATTTTAAAATTTCTTATTAAAACTAGAGGGGTTGTTCAATCGCTATGACATGAAAGTTCACCCAAATATGAACGCTCAATTACAGGAATCACATATTCGACTCTCAGGTCTGTGGATGGTGGATTACAGGAAATTTCTCAAAATATGTTGCGAGATGTTCGGCAAAATACTAAGAATTCTGAAATTACCAAGCAATTAGACTGCAATAAGATTTCTAAAGAAGAAAAAACTTATGAAATTCTCAGCAGTTTTCTTTCCTGGCAGTGTAACAAAAAATCAAACTTAATAAGTCACACCGTACAATAAATAAATTTTGTTTATTTTAAATTGTTAATTTTTTTGATTTCTGAAAGTATAAAAATTTATCATTATCTTGTATAACATAAATAAAATCTGTCATATTATTTATTTAGTAGATTAAATTTAGTAATTCAACTTCTAATTAAAGACATTTATAATAAGTAAGATAAAATTCTAACATTGTTATGATGTAAAACCATTTTTATTAAACATTTTGTGTTTACAGAATTAAAAAATGTTAGATACGTATTATGGGAGGAATTAGAAGGCGATTTTTCTATAGTCATTGCGTGCAGATCTTAAAAATTTTTATTATAGAATTTTATGTTTCTGAAATTTCAAAACACAAGTTCATATACCAATACTTCTTTCGTTCCAATATGCCTTATACTTGGAGTGCTTATTTTGATGAGACGCAACCTGAGGATTATCACTTTATAGACTTCTAGGAATACCGCTTACAACAGACTGATTTCAGTTTCTCTTTTCAAAAGGAATCGGACAAGCTTAAAAAGGATCTTGAAAATCTAATAGACTATGGTTCAAATAAAGCAAAGAAATATGCCAATCAATGAAATAAGGCTTTTAAGGGACGCTTGTCTTGGTATTATTTTTTGTTTATTTTTTCCATGGCTGGTTGCAGAAGAAAGGATTTCACAACTACGGTGGGCATCTGCTTGTTGCTTGCCTTATGGTCTGCTCGTCCGTTGTAGAAATAGGGAATATCCTCATAACTACGGGGGCATCTGCTCGTTGCCTACCTTATGGTCTGCTCGTCCGTTATGAGTGCACCAACCATGCTTATACCGCTTTTTGAATCAATTTACTAATTTTATGTAAACTACAGGATCATTGGAAATACTATATAGAAGTTGATGAACTTTGGTGTAATATTGAACTACATGGGGAATTACACGACATTGAGGTTTTTTACTAATTAATTTTTTCAGTCTTTCTAACCAAATTAATTTTCACATTTATAATGATTTTTCATAACTTTAGGTAGAAGCTTCTAGATCAATTATGCAAGAAACTAAAAACGTTGTTGATACTGCCATCGGGAATATTC